CTTCAGGGGGAATACAAGGGCCTGATCAATCCTCTACCTAGCAGCCAATGCAATGTCTGGTGCCTTTCTGTGTCCACTGGGTTCTTGGTGGTGTCACTGGAATAATTCTAGAGAAAAGTCTTCTTGATCTTCTCAATATTTTCACTCTAACTTTAGGTCTCTGATTGAGCTGACCATCATGATACTATGCTTAGGGGCTGCCTGAACTACTCAATCACATCAGTGAACTACCTCTCATTAGACACAGAATTTTGTTTATTATAAAATATTCTTGTGGCCTATCTAACTTTTGAACTATCTAACAATTTTCTATTGATTTCTGATACTTCTATTAAATTAAGAAAGTTGGTTGGTTGTCATTACAGTTTATCTCTGTATATGGCAGAAACGACAAAGCTATCAAAATCTGCACCTGGACTGTCCCCTGAGGACAAAAACCAGTGTAATACATTGTCTAGTAAATTCTGTGATCCAACAGATAAGGTGTAGGCAGACTGAGTGAAAGGAAAAACAAACCACATTTCTAGAGAAGTGTGGTAGTTAGCTTCCAAATCAGCCCTCGATCTTTGGTAATCATGTCTTACTCCATAAGAAGTAAGTAGTCTTACTCTGTATTAAATAGAGCTGATCCATGTTTTCAGTGAGATGTTGTTTTTGCTATGTACAGTTGAGCTGGAACAAACTTATAGCTGATCCTCCAGCAGGTTTGCAGAGACAGTTCACTGTAGGAAGGAGATGGTCTATCTTTTCCCTGTGGAACAGCTGGTAGATTTGAACTGCATGCTTTTGAGATGGCAGTGCAATTCCTTACCACTAAGCCACCAGAGATCCCTAACTGATAATAGGGGAGAAATAAAGGAGTTTGGCATCCAAGGCTGGGTTATAAAAGACACTAGTTTCTGTCTTGCTTTCTTTCTCTCAGATCTTGCTCTGGGTTCCCAGTTGCTTCTTCCTGGGACAACAAGGCAGACCTGTAAAAGTCCAAATGGCGAGGAACTGAGGCCTCCAACAATAACAGGACGGAGGCACTTTGAAAGCAGATTTTCTGATTCCAGCCAAGCCTTGTAGAGTCCTCACTGATGTCTTGATTCCAACATCAGGAGAGACCCTCAGCCAGAATCACCTGTTAAATTGCTGTTCCTGCCGCACAACTACTTCCAGACTAACAATATGAGAAAATAAATATTTCCTGTTTAAAGTGAGTAACTCTTATTTTGCCATGCAGCAATGGATGACTAATATAGAAAGTATCTGGAAAACAACCTTGATAAGAAATCAACTCAACTCACTGCCACTGACTTGGAAATGACTCAGAGCTGACCCTTCAATAGGTTCTCAGAGGCTGTAAACTGCATGGGAGGAGACTGTCCACCTTTCTCCCACAGAGCAGCTGGTGGATTTGAACAGCCTGCCTTTGGGTTGGCAGAACCTTTATCTGCTAGGCCACTGGATAGCTGAAAGGTGAACATAACAGTAGCATGGATATATATATAGATATAGATATGGATATGGATATAGATAGATATAGATATAGATATAGATATAGATATAGATATAGAGATAGAGATATATTATGGAAAGGTCTTAAAAATAACCATGCATTATACTAAGAAAATGATCCAGATTAGAAAACCCTCTATATGTAAAGGTGCTCTTTACAGTACCATTTAGAGGGAAAAAAATTGTTTTTGAGGGGAAGAGTAAGCATTATATAAGTGTGTAGAAATTAAAAGCTATGTTTACAAAATTTTAAGCCACATATAATAGTTTGAACACATTCAGAATTTATGTATATTAACTCATTATATCCACTAATTTTATGAGACTAAGACTATTATCATCCCCACATATAGATAGAAAACAAGCCAACAGGGATTAAAAATGTATGAAGGGCAAATATGAATAAAGAAGCTAGAATTCTAATCTGGGTATGATCCCATAGCACATGCCATTAACTGTTTTGCTGTGATATCTCACAATGTGTAAAGTACAATTTAAAGTGAAAAAGATGCACGTAATGTGAACACACCATGGTAAAAGCATCCAAGGCAAAAAAACTGGAAAATACTAGACAATGATTATCTTAAGCACTGGAATATTGGATATTTTCTTCCTGACTCTTCCCTACACTTTTCAAATCCTTTATAGCCAGCAAAAGTCATTCGTAATCACACTCATACACACACACGAAGAAGAGAAAAGAAACCATCCATTAACTACCAGTAATTTCCAAAGCTCTGGTAGCACGGACTGCCTGGGAAAACTCCCAACACTGAGTTCAAATCACTGTTAGGTACCTCCTGCCTCCTGATCCACATGAATCCAAGGAAAGAGTTCTAGGCAATATTGTTGTAGTATGAGGATAATGAGGCTTAAACTGAGACCTAATCCTTATCTTCTGATCGCACAATTGATTTTCAGAGGGTTTTATCGCTAGATTTTTTTTAAGGATTCAGTTTAATATTTAATAACATTTACTGAGTATTTATGATACATTAAGCAATATGCTAACCCCTACACATGGATATGCTATTTGAACCCCACAACTACACACTGCAGAAGCAGACTTATCATCTCTCTGAGAATCCCAAAACTTAGAAGCACTTAAGTAACTTGCTTAAGGTTACACAATTAATAAGTAGTATTAGATCTCTCTGACTTATTACTAGAATTTTCCCATTAGGTTCTACCTTGTCTTAGGAAAGAGACATGTTTAGTTAAAAAATATTATCAGTACTTATATCGATAAAATATAAATGTCCATGACCATCTCAGTCTTGAAATGATTTCTTGACATATGCAGATTGCTCTCAAAGTTACAAATATAACTTTGTATCTTTAAGCAGACAGGAAGGAAAGAATGATCCTGCCTCATATCCCAATACCACTGCCTTTGAAAGGAAGATTGGCAGAGAAGTTAATGAAGAATTTCATGGGCTTTACACTCAAGGGTTTTCCAGGCTATGGCTCAGATAACAACAAACAACTTCTGTTCTTACCAATGTCTTGGGGCAAAGCTCAGAGACTCAAGTCACATATCTGATGAGAGCAACACCTGGATTAAAAAAAGTTTGGACCCAGTCATCCCATGACTGCTTGAGGGCTTGTTGATTCCTTAAATGATCAACCAGATGGTTCCACCATTTAACACTCTCTGGCAAGGAAATTATAAAAAAAAAAAAAAAATGAAGTGATTGTTGCTGTGGATATATTAAAATTTCCTTTCAAGATTTAAACGGGGATATAAAAGCATCAACCTCCTGATCTCTTTGTCTACTAATATTTTCACTAGAGCACGGAAGTAAGACGGAAATATCTCTATGTATGATCAGTTAACACATAGGTAGCTAGCGTGCGTGCTCTCGCTCTCACACACACACACACACACACACACACACACAGAGAGAGATAGAGAGAGAGAGAGAGAGAGAGAGAGAGAGTGAGTGACAGAGAGTGTGTCAGTCTTCCTACATAACTTTCAACCACCAGGAGAAAACAGGAGCAAGTCACATTGCTGTCTACAAAATTTCTTTTTTCTAAATGATAGAACATTGCATTGTTCAAAATCAGGAAAGGTGTGCATCACAGATGCATCCTGTCTCCACACTTTTTCAATCTATATGCAGAACAGATCATGTGGGAATCTGGGCTTTATGAAGAGGAATGCGGCATCAGGATTGGAGGAAGACTCATCAATAACCTGTGTTATGCAGATGATATGACCTTGCTTGCTAAGACTGAGGAGGACCTGAAGTGCATGAAGGTCAAGGACTATAGTCTTCAATATGGATTGAAGCGCAACATCAAGAAGACAAAGATTCTCACCACTGGGCCAATAGGCAGCACCATGATAGATGTAGAGGAGATTGGGGCTGTTAACAATTAAAACTTGACTGACTCCACAATCAACAATCTTAGCACCAGCAGTCAGGAAATCAAAAGGCGAAATAATTGCATTAGGAAAATCTGCTGTCAGGGACCTATCCAGAGTACTAAAATGCAACGATGCCAGTCTAGAGATTAAGGTTTACTTAATCCAGATCATGGTCTTCGCATTACTTGTTAAGCTTCAGAGAGCTGGAAATGACTAAAGATGACAGAAGAAGAATCAATGCCTTCCAGTTGTGGTGCTGGAGAAGAGACTTGAACTGCCAAGAAAACAAGTAAGTCTGTCGTGAAGAGGGTAAAACCGAGTTTGTTCTTGGAGGCCAGGATTGTAAAGCTCTATCTCACATACTTTGGGCATGTGGCCAGGAGAGACTGACCCTTGGAGAAGGACATCATGCTCACAAGGGTGGAGGAATGGTGCAGGAGAGAAAGACCCCAGATAAGATGGATTGATACAGGAACTGAGGCAACGGAGGTTGGTGTGTTGGGATCAGTGAGACTGGCTCAGGACAGGGCAGGCTTCAGAGCTGCTGTACATAGGGTTGCTATGGGTCACAGGTGACTCAACAGCACATAACATAACAAATGACAGTAACTGTAGTTGTGTACTATTGGGTTAGAACCAACATACAGCTTATCCTCCAGCAAGTTTTCACAGAACAGCTGGTGGATTTGAAGCATAGTACTTGGGGGTTGGCAGTACAACTTCTTACCACTACACCTATCACTTAAATTATGGACAAATTGTTTTGCATTGTTTGGTATCTAACAATGTATTCGTATGTAGTAAACCAGTAATTTTTATACTATGAAGTGATAAGAAACTCAAGCTGGGCTCCAACACTACTATAAAAAGAAAGATTTTTAAAATGAGTTTTTTTTTAAAATCCAGAAATTGATTCTTTTTCATGATAAGGCCATCCAGTAATGTAATCTGCCTAAGAGTAATTCCCTCCCCAGCCTTTCTTTTCAGTAGCTATTCAAAATACTCTATAGACCATTTATATATTTCTGCCAAAAGCTAGCAGCAACCATTTCCAGTGCAGTATGATTTAGGGGTTAGGGCACGGCTGCAGGGGAAGCAGAAGCAGAATCCCGTAAGGGACACTCACCAGCTATAGCACCAGCCAAGAGCAGGCTTCCAGGGCTAATCTGCCCATCTTCATTGGCAAAGGAAGCCTTCACATGAGCATAGCATGGGAAGTAGATGGCCGAGAAAGGAATGTCCCGCAGGAAGCATGCTTTGGCACCCTGTGTGTTTGAAAAAGAAGAAAACCACATGAAACACATATCCCACTGAGAAGATCAAGCTTCTCTGGAACTGACTTCAGAACAAAATTTTCCTAAAAAAGAACAAATTTATATTCACAAGTTGAAAGGTGAACAGAGAAATTTAGTCCAAATTCTGCACGTAATAAATCTACATTTTCATTTTTTAAAAAACACCAGAAAATGAAAAAAGGTATGTTGTGTGGCATGAGAATGACTCTAATTTATTTTAATGAGACTTCTATTAGGATGTGTTTCTGGAGCTCTGCCTTTGTCAACTCAAGCAGTGGCAAATCCCTGGCATTTCAAGGAGGATCATCAGCTCTTTCGTCTCAGGAGAAGAACGGGAAGCAAAATTCAAGACTTGTCCTTGTTTACATGTAAGGAAAGTTGAGAAATGACATATATGATAAAAGAAGTCTTTTTTTAAAAAAAAGTTTATTTTTAGATTTGAGAATCTAACAAAAATTTGAACTCTTCCCCAGAAAAAAATGACACAAACACACACACTCTCAAATAATTTTTAGGGGTCCATAGGTTCCTTCTCAAGTTTATTCATATTGGCCCCCAAGATTTGTGACACATTAATGAATACTTAGTCTAAAGCTTAAAACTATTTACAATAATTCTGACACATTAAAGAACTGTATGTCAATAATTAGCTCACAAAGTCACTATTACCTGAAGCACAAATAATGACTTATGAAGGTCTGGAGGATTGATGACAGTACCTACCCAGAAACAGGATGTAACACCACGATGAAAACCTTAAGACATATATTGTGTCACATCTCTCTTCAACATCTAATGATTTAATACCAATTCTTTTACAAGTTTCTAATACTTAAAGAATTTCCACTGAATTAAGATTCCTAAAAGAAAATAATGAGTACATCCAAATTCAACAGAATCCAGGCAAATCCAATGACATTTCTTGATATCTAGGGATGAATCTTAGAAGACTGAAGAAGAATTGATGTACTGGAATTACGATGTTGGCAAAGAAAGGTGAATACACCATGGATTGCCAAGAAAGAACAAATCCGTTTTGGAAAAGGTGCAGCCCAAATACTCCTTACAGGTGAGGACAGTGAGACTTCGTTTCCCATTCTTGGCCAGGTTATTAGGAGGCACCCATCCCTAGGGCACCAGAGAAAAGAGGAAGGCCTTCAGTGAGATTCGCTCACACAAGGGCTGCAACAATGGACTCAAACACAGCAACACTCATGAGGAGAACAGGAGTGGGAAATGTTCCATGTTAAACACAGGCTAGCTACTTTGAGGTGGCACCAACAGAATGGAGCCCAACAATAATAGCCATCATGATGGTGAGTCCTGGTATTTTTGTGTAAGGCTAGGCTCTGACCTGTCAAAAGTCATTAACACTAAATATCTATCACTTTATTCTCTGATAGAGCATCACACTCTTGACCAAACTGAGCTTTCAGATAATAAAACTCTTAACCTTAGTCTTTCTCTAAGTAATTCCACGTCTAGTGCGGGAACCCCGAAGGCACGCGGTTTGAGGTAGGTTCTGACTCTACAATACACAACAATACCACCACCACCACCACCACCACCACCACCACCACAGTGTACATCAGTTGCCTTAAAAAAAGTCACCTCAATCTTACCCTCACTCTGATGTCAGCCTCATTCTATAACAGTGGCACCATATAGTATTTGTCCTTTTCTGACTGAGATATTTCACTCAGCATAATGTCCTCCAGGGTCAACCATTCTGAATAATATTGCATGAGTTCCTTGTTTTTCAATGCAGTGTAGTATTCCATTGTGTGAATATACCACAAAACTGGATAAATTATGTTTACTGCATTGAAGCTGATGAGGGAGAGAATAGTTTAAAAGTAATATATTTTAGGGCATTATGATTATCATAAGAGTCCGGAATGAGGGTTTCAGAGTGGAGTATACTCGGGGTGGGGGTGAATGTGTGTTGGGGGACTGTGTACCAATGAAGGAGTTTTTCTTTTGCTTTTCAAGGAGAAGAGTGAACTGGGGATGGGGGGTGCGGTGGACGGGGAGAAAAGCACAACAATGAATGAATGGAAATCCAAATCTCTGTAGATGTTCATTGACATTAATAATAAATAATAATAATAAATAATAATAATAATAATAATAATAATAATAAAACCATCACCTAAGCAGGGCTTTGTGTTTAATTCTATTATATTTTATCCTAGTTTGGCCCATTCATCCAACCAGAACAAATGCTGGGAATCTGGATTATCAAGCTGTCTCTTCCTCAAGCAACTATTCACAATGGGGTGAGGCTGTCCAGACATCTTGTGATGGACATCAACCCCTACCCTTCTTCATTCTGAGCAAACGTATTTCAGAAAGGGCAGATCCACCATCTCAAGCCCTGCCAACCAGTCCAGGCTTCTCTACCTCATCCACTCAAAACCTGTGATATAAATGTCTTAACTGAAGCTAAGAACCACAAAATCAATCAGAGCTAAATTTTCCCCTTAATATATGTGAAAATTGATCTAAACTACCAGCTACACATTTGTCCAGGGGCCATTTTCATAGGCAGTGCTACAGACACATCCAAAACTCAGAGTTCTTTATTTCCTTCTACTTCCCCCAGGCCAAAAGGACAGTACTGCCAATTTCCAAGGGTAGTACCTAATCTCCTTCTTAAAAATCATTTAAATTTTTTATAATTATAATTCAGGCAGTTACTCTATAAGAACACTACTATGACTCTTTTATTTCTCCATCTTTCCTTGCTTTTCCCCTATTTTGCTTCTAAACATGCCTGTACGTTCCGCTTATTATTTGTTTTTTTTAAAAAATTTTATATTTTAATTGTGATGTTAACAAAAGTTTACAGAAAAGTTAGATTTTCATTGTTTCAAAATTTTACCCCCTTTTCCTCCCTCCCTTACCGCAGTTCATGTGTTTTTTTGTTTTTTAAATATTTATTCTTGATGCACAATTACCTCCCCATCCCCTTTCCAGTCTCTTTGCAATGTACCTCTTATTCTAGGCTATTTTTTGTACATATAATGCCTAGCCATATATTCCTTTTAAACAGTTATTTTCTCCATCTATTCCAGTGCAAGGTTCATTATCTATCCATTCTTATCCTATTCTCTTCCCAATCTTATGTCAGACCTTTATAACAGTGGTGCTACACAGTATTTGTCTTTCACTAAGCATAAGGTCCTGCAGGGTCACCCATGTTGGTAATGTTGTATGAGTCTATTGTTAATTAAGTGCTGTACAGTATTCCATTGTATGATTGTACCACAGTTTTTCTATCCATTTATTTGCTGATGGGCACTTGAGTTGTTTCCATCTGTTTGCTACTATAAATAATGCATCAATAAACACGGGTGTGTGTGTGAAAAAAAAAATATATATGTATTTAGATGGCAGTTATGGTTTCTTTAGGATATATTCCTTATTGGGTCAAATGGCATTTCTGTTTCTAACTTTTTGAGAAAGTGCCAAACTGCCTTCCATAGTGGTTGCACCATTTTACACTCCTACCAGCAGTGAATAAGAGTTTCAATCTCTCCACAACCTCGCTAGCATTCAATGTTTGCTTCTCTGTTGAACTCTGCTATTATTTCTGGGGTGAGATGATATCGTATAGTTATTTGATTTGCATCTCTCTGGTAGCTATGGATTTTGAACATTTTTTCATGTGTTTGACACCATCTGAAATAGCTTGGAAGAACTCCAGAAGCCCTAATCCAGGGTATGACCAGTCTTCCAAGCATAATGAAAATCCTACAACCAAGAAAGAACAAAATAGATGAATGGGACCTTCAAAGAAGAAAAGCCCTATGCACATCAAAAAAACTTCTCCAACAGGGTGAAAAGGGAAGCCACAAACTGAGAAAATATATTTGGTTATGACATATCTGATAAGGGATTCATATCTAAAATTTATAGAGTACTCCAGCATCTCAACAAGAAAAAGGTGAACAACCTAATTGCAAAATGGGTACAGGATATGAATAGACACTTCTGCTAATTATTTGTACAGATAAAGATTCTATACAAAAGAAGCAACTCAAATTAAGAGTTTTCACACATTTTCAGGTGTGCCTTTTTGATGTTGTAGTGAAAAACAAAACTACATTATTGACTTTCTAAACATATGACTAAGTTACTATAATCATTCTTACCTCAAATTTGGCTTCTTGCTACATCTATTTATTTTTTAACATTTATCCACATCTCTCAGACATTCATCTCATCATTCTATATGCTTTGTTCATTCTTTTAGAAGCTAACATTTCCCCTTAACTTTATTATAAATATTACATACTTGAGTAGTCCGTCTTACAGAGCCTGCTTGGAGTTACCAAGCATTAGAACAGATTAGATGGCAACTAACAACAACAACGATAATACTACTAAAAGTATGTTTACACCTGACAAACTGACTGGAAGAGATCCATATTTATTCTTATTCCAAAAAGGATGATTTGAGTGTGAAAATTATTGTACAATATCATTAATATCACATACAAGCAAAATCCTGCTGAAGATCTTCCCAAACGCCTTAAACAGTACATTGGCAGAGAACTACCAGAAATACAAGTGAGGTTTAGAAGAAGCTGTGCCACTAGGGACATGTCTATCTGTGTTCATTGACTATGCAAAGGCATTTACTGTATGGATCACAACTATGGCTAACTTTGAGAACAGGAATTCCAGAAAACCTGATTGTGCTCATGCAAAATCTACACATGGACCAGGAGGTAGTCCTCAGGATAGAGCAAGGAAATACTGCATGGTTCAAAATCAGGAAAGGAGTGTGTCAGGGATGCATCCTATCTTCATAGCTTTTTAATCTGTATGAGGAACAGATCATTCAGGAGGCTGAGCTTTATGAAGAGGAATGTGCATCAGGATTAGAGGAAGACTCATCAACAACTTGTGTTATGAAGATGGCACAACTTTGCTTGCTGAAACAGAGGAGGACCTAAAGCATT